GATAAATAGCCCTGGATCATGTTAGGTATTAAAAAGGGAAATTACAGATACAGTTGACATCAGAACCCTAACAATTTTGTGCCAACAAATTTGAAAACCTAGCTGAAATAAGATAACTTTCTAGAAAAAATATTACAAAACCAACTCTTAATAAAAAAGCAAAAACCTGAAATGCTCTTTATATGTTCATATATGTCTTTTTTAAAAAAACTTTATTGGGAACAATGTGTTTTTCCAGGATCCATCAGCTCCAAGGCAAGTTGCTGTCCTTCAATCTTCGTTGTGGAGGGTGCAGCTCAGCTCCAAGTCCAGTCGCTGTTTCAATCTAGTTGTGTGTATATGGGCGGCAGCCCACCATCCCATGTGGGAACTGAACAGGCAACCCTCTTGCTGAGAGCAACACACTATAACCAGCTGAGCCACCCAGCTGCCTCCATATGTGTCTTTTAATGGCTACAAAGTATTGAATTAGTAGTTCAAATTTTTCATCTCTCAAAACAAACTAACCTGGACTAGATAGTTTTATATTCATGGAAGATATGATTCTAAACATATAAAACACTTTTAGTAATTAGATAAATGAGTGTATCTGTCCTGCCCATAGACAATTTATTTTGTAAACCTTCTTGCCAAAACTAGACAAGGACAGTATGAGAAAGGAAAATGATACCCAATGTTATGAACTTGGACACAGAAATTCCTAATAGAGTATTAGAAAACGAAATTTTAAAAATGTATGAAAAAAATAATACACCAAGTTGGGTTTTTTCAGGAATGCAAGTATTAGAGAAAAATCTACACATTTTATTAACCAGCTTAAAACATTAAAGGAGAAAAATAAACCCTCTAAATTCATTTCAAGAGATGCAGAAAAAAAGTTTATTGTGATTATTTTTCATGATAAAAACTTACCAAAGTAGGAATAGAAAGGATTTGTTTTTAACTTGGTTAAGGGTGCCTAAGAAAAACCTATATCATATTCATCCTTAGTGGCGAAACTTTAGCAGTATTCACTTTAAAGATGTAGTCCAGTCATTATTGATAAGATTTGTATTAGAGTCTTAGTGTATAATATAAGGAAAAGAAATAAAAAGCATTAAGGATTAGAAAGAAAGTTTAAAAACCTTATTATTCACAGGTGATATGATTTTTACCTAGGAATCCCCCAAAAAATCTGAAAAAGAATTAATAAAGTTAATAAATAAGTCCAGCAAGTTTGCTGGATATATGATTAATATATAAAATTAATTACATTTAATATATCAGCAACAAGAAAGATAGCACTTTTTTATTTTAATTGGGGAATTGGGGAAGGGAAACAGCCAAGTTGTTGTCCTTCAATCTTAGTTGTGGAGGGTGCAGCTAGCTGAGCTCCAAGTTCAGTCGCCATCTGGCTGTCTGTCAGCAGCTCATGGATACTCAGCTCAAGGTGCTGTGTTCAATCTTGTGGGTGGGCGTAGCCACCATCCCATGCAGGAGTGGAACCAGCAGCCTCGTTAAGAGCACACGCTCTATCCCCTGAGCCACCTGCGAGGCAGCTCAGCTTAAGGTGCCAAGTTCAGTCTTTAGTTGCGGGCGGGCGTAGCCCACCGTCTCAAGCAGGCAACCTTGTTGTTAGGAGCACATGCTCTCACCAGCTGAACCATCCTGCCACCTGTTGGCAGCTCAGCTCGGGCACAACTCACTGGCTCATGTGGGGATCCAACCGGTGACCCTGTTGCTCAGAGCTTGTGCTCTTAAGCAAGCTCTTAACCAACTGAGCCACTCGGCTGGCCCCAAAAGATAGCACTTCTAATAAAACATATAAAAAGTATTTAGGAACAAATCTAATAAAAGATTTGTGTGATCTTTAAGGAGAAAAAAATAAAAATGTGTAAAGGTTGTTAAAGAAAACGTAAAGAAATGGAACGATCTATCAGATCGTGAATCGAAAGGCTCAGTTTCTTACAGATGCAATCTCCCCCAAATAATCTGTAAAATCAGTGCAACTTCAATAAGAATCCTGAAAAGATTTTTTATGGGTCACCAAAAGCTGATGCTAAAATTTAGATAAAAGAATGAAAGACAAAGAAAAACCAAGATGATTTTGAAAGGTAAAAGGGGAGAAGACTTGACTTATCAGACAATAGTTTTTTTTATAAAGCCTTAGTAAGGTAGGTGATGACGCATGGACAGACAAATAGGCCAGTGGAACAGGAGAGGGTGCTCAGAAACAAACCCGAACTTGAATGGAAATATGGTACCTGTCAGATGGCATTGCAATGGGTGGTAGCTTCTTCATGAAATGGTACTAGGAAGATTGATTTTGCATATGGAGAAAAAATACAGGTGAATCCTTACCTCCCAGCTGGATTAAAGACCTAACTTGAAAAGTGCAACTTTAAAATGCTTTCAAGAACATATGGAATATGTATATGATCTCAGGAGGAAAAGGTATTCTTAAGATACAAAATACATAAACCATGAAGAAAAAGATTGGCTAATTTGATTCCATTAAAGTTGTAAATGTCTATTCATCAAAAAGATCATTAAAGAGATGAAAAAATAAGTCAGTGTGGATGATATTTTCAACACATATAACAACTAAAGGATTAGGAAAAAATATATGAAATGTTGATTTGTCTTCCAAATCAATAAGAAAAAGACAAAACAGTCCAGCAGAAAATCTGGCAAAAGATTAGAAACAGCCAATTTACAATTTAAACATATAAAAAGATGCCAAACTTCATTAATAATTAGACAATTATTAATAAATGACAATTTAAAAAATAAGATACCATTTCATATTCATCAGATTGACAAAAATTAAGTTCATCAGTAGGAAGTGTTGGTAAGGACGTCAAACAGTAGAAATATTGCTGATATTAAAGTAAATTGGTTCAGTAGATTCAGAAAACAGTTGAGCATCGTTCAGTGAAGTTGAAGATGCTCATATCCTACAGCCTAGTAATTCCACTCCTAGGTATGTAAAGGAGAGAAACTTGACATACGTGTACAATAAAATGTATAAGAATTGCTCAAACTTTTTCTACTGTCATATCGTTTGCAATAGTAAAAAATTACAAACAAGCTAAATATCACTCAGCAGGAACTGGATTAATAAACGGTAGTATTTTCATAAGTGGAGTTGCTAAATAGTTGTGAAACAGTAAACTAGGTTTACACATATCAACATGGATGAATCTCATAAACCTAATTTTAAATGATCAAAACCCCCCAAATTTCCAAAGAATACTTTAGCATATATGGCATTCATATAATGCACAAAAATACAAAACAATACCATGTATTTTTAGGGATACAGATGTGGTAGAAGTATAAAATACTCAAGCACGACATACTCCAGATTTACAATAGGATTACCTTTGTGGGAAGGGAAGGGAATTTGAACAATGAAAGATCCACAAGAGACTCTGCCTGTGATGGTAACACTTTATTTCTTAAGCTGCGTAATAGTATATGGTTGTTCATTATATTATTCTTTATACCTTTTTGTGTGTCTTAAATGTTACATAGTAGTTTTAAAAAGTATATGTAAATGGTTGCAATGTGGGGACCACAAATATAAGTATACAAGAAAAATAAAAACACCAGCTGCCCTCATGCTATCCAAATAGATAGTTGTGGCCTGAGTTACAACTTCTAGTGACAGCATCTGGCATGTATTTAAAAGGTGGTATCTCTCAGAAGTGTCCCGTCATTGCTGCCTGCAAAATACAGGCAGAATCTGCCCTCTTCAACTCCACACTGTCCCCCGATCAAATCCAACCAAATATTGTCTCTTGCTAGGAATAATTCTATCTCCTCCTCCCTAACCCGCCTCCCAGTCGCCATGCTTGCCAGCTCCCCCACAGTCTCTTTTCCTCAGAGATAGCTTTAAAATGTAAAACAGTTCATGTTACACCCTTGTTCAAAATTCTCCAAGGCTGAGATTAAAATTCAGAGCCCTCACCAGGCCTCCAAGGCCCCAGCCCCATGGCCTACAGCTGCTGCCCTGTTCTCCTTTTCTATTCTAGCATGCTGACTTTGCTGTCCCTTTAGCAACTCCTGTCTTGCCTTAGGGCCCTCACGCTTGCCATTGGGAAGCATTGTCTCAGGTTTTATTATGGCTTCATTACTGGCTTCATTACTGGCTTCCACTTACCACCTTTTCTAAAATTGCTGCCACGACTGCCCCTCCCCCACCTGACCAGTCCCTCTATCCCCCTTGGCTATTTCATTTTCCTTCCAGTCTGCTGTTATATTATATTTGAATTTGTTTAAGCGTTTATTTCTGAGGACTGGACATTTTCTGCCTTACTCATCGTTTTGTTTCCCACTGTCTAAAACGGTGTCTTCTTGGCACACGATAGATATTCAGTCAGACCTTCTTCAATGAACGAATGCATTGATGATAAGGAGAAACTTAGATGGCTCAAAAAGCACTTTCTGGTAAAAGCAAAGCCACTGGAGTTGTAGATGCATGAGAAGAACTTGAATAAGATTGTTTCATAAAGCATAAAAGGGGAAAAAAGCAGAGTATGCTCTAGAAACATTAATTAACTGATTTCCAAGTATGTGTGATTAGGGTAAATATAAGTAGTTGAGTATTTTATCTATACTCCTCAAAGTCTGGATATTCAGGTTGGCCAGAAAACTCTTGGGATCTTGTCTCTGGGGAACTTGACGTTCAGCTCGCCTGACCCATTGTGTTGCCTTACGCTGGGGCCTGTCTAGTCACGCAGCCTGTCGGTCAGTCAGTCCTTCCCAAGCACTCTGGGTTAAAACCTGCCCCAGGATTAGGGCCATGGGGTAGGGGAGACGCAGAAGGAGAAGGGAACCAGGCCCAGTGTGTGTGTGCTGTGAGCCAGGGACTCTGCCTGGATTTCGTCCTGGTGTGGGACTTCGGAGCCCCCATGCCCGGGCCAGCACACCTGACTGGGTGGCCCAGGCGGGGAGAGGGCCAGGACCACAGAGCTCTGCAGCTTGGTCTGACCCTCCAAACCTTGCCACCCCTGCAGTTCGGGGAAATCGTCTTCGTGGCCGTCTATAGCGCCGAGTTCTACCTGAAGCTCTACGTGGACCCCATCAACTACTGGAAGGATGGCTACAACTTGTTAGACGTGGTGGTTATCCTCATTCTCAGCATCCCCTACAGTCTCCGCAAGATCAAGGGCATGCACTACCCTTACCTCAACGTTGCAGATGGCTTGCAGTCCCTGCGCATCCTCAAGCTTATCTCCTATAGCCGTGGCATCCGGGTGAGTAACCAGGGGTGCTATGGTTCCGGCAGTGCGGGCGACAGGGACCACCTGCCCATCAGCCCGTGATGAAATAATAATTCCACCACTATCACCCAGTTATTGAGTCCTACTGTGTGGCAGGTTGATCTTTACTTATATTATTTCATTTATTCTTAAAACACTTGTAAGAAAGGTATATTAGCTCCATTTTACAGATGAAGGAATTGAAGCGCAAAGTCACTCAGATGCCAGAGCTGAGATATGAAAGGTGTGTCTGACTCTAGAGACCATCTGAAATTTTCCTCTCTCCCATGCTGCAAAGTGGACCCTCCTGTGGTACAGGCTCTTCAAACTACATGCCCTGAAGTCTGCAACTTTTTGGTGGCCCTGGCCACTCTCTGTTTTTCCCCCGATAGCTAAAACCTGCTGCTGCTTTTCATGGGCATAGTCTCATGACTTTGTCCAGGTAGCTCTGGAAATGCTGCTCCTACTGAGAAGTCATGGGGTGATCCCAGAGCTGAGCCAGCCATGTCCTTAGGCATTTGGCCGGGACCCAGGATGTTCACCCGGGCTCTGCATGCAGTGTCCATGCTGGGGCTGGTTTGGACCTAGCTGACCAGTCAGGGTGTCAGCCTGTTCTGCTGAGACGTTGCTTCTCGCCCAGCCGGCTCTCAGTATTGGGCCAGACCTGACACTCGGGGAGCCCCAGTCCTCAGTGGAGAAGATAAGGAGAATGTTAAAGAGCTCCCCCTGTCACAGAGCCCCATTCAGTCATTTCTTGCTCTCATGTATCTCACACATGAGTGTGTCCCCTCCGAAATAATGGAGTCCAGCCCTCCTTGTCCATCTTTTCATGGTGAGGCTTTTGGAAAGAGGGGTCTATACTCCCATTGCCCACTTCCTTGTCTGTCATTTATGCCCTGGCTTTTTCCTTCCGCTCCAAAGTAACTCGCTTCTCTGAGGTTGCCAACAACTTCTTTGTCACCATGTCCACTGGCCATGTCCCTTGGCATCTGTGTCACTGCCTTCTCTTGGCTTTCCTCCCGCCCTTTGGGTATAATTTCTTGGGTACTTGTTTCCTTTGCCTGACCCGTAAGTGTTGTTTTCTCAGGACTATGCCCTGAGTTCTCCTCTCTGGGTACTCTCTTTGGGTGATCTTTTCCACTTGTCAGGAGTCTACCTGTCCACGCCTCTCTTTGACCTTCAGATCGAACTGTCTCCTGGACATCTCCCATGCTCCTCAAATGCAACATATCTAAACTGGAAGTCATCACTATCTCCCCACCCCTACCCTCCAATCCCCAAACCCTGGCTTCCCCTCCTGTATTTTATCTTTTGGTGAAAAGACAGCCACTCCTATTCAATTGCCAAGTCACAAATTTGAGTGTTAGCTTTGACTCCTTTCTCTCGAAGTCCTGTTGCATGGCCTCCTAAATGGTTATTGACTGTCTACATCTTTTCACCCCCACAGCCATTACCATTTCTCTATCACCATCCTCCTTTACCTGGATTCCTGCAGTGACTTCCCACACTGCTGGGAGCACTGGAGCAGAAATGCCCCAGCAGCTGGGGGGGAATCCCTAAAGTATACGTCAAATCTTGCCCCCCTTCCCTTTCAAACCTAAGCATGGCTCCCCTTGTTTGGAGGCTAGAGAAAGACCCCGTAATGTGACCTAGAAGGGGGGAGTGGCGTGTCCAAGGTGCTGGGCATTGGAGTCGATGTCAGGTAGGTACAAGAGTATGACAAATGGATAGGCAAGGAGACTGGAGGCCCCTGGGAGGTAAGTGCCAGGTGGTGGGCACCTCAGAGTAGGGAGTGATGAGAAAGTGGGAAGTGTAGTCCGGTTGTTCCAGGTGTAGGGCACCAAGGCAACAGGGGTCTAAAGTGGTGCAAGGGTCCCTGGAGATGAGGACGTCAAGGGTCCAAGAGGCCTGGGGATGGTGGGTATTCCACAGAGATGCCGAAGGCCCCCAGGGTGCCAGCAAGATGGGATGGAGCAGAGATTCTGAGGCATGAGGCAGAGTGGGAAGCTGGAAAGCAGGGGCTTTGCCCACACAGGCAGGGACTCAGGATAAGGGACAGGGTGGCCTCTTGAATCAGGTCAGCCTCCGTCCAGCGGGAGGAGTGGTGTCCTCAGGCAAGAGAGGATTTTCAGGTGAGGCCAGGAGAGGGACCACCTTGGAATGAAGGTGCCAGAGACCTGCACAGTCCCATGAGGAAGGAGGTGATGGCATTGGGCTGAGGGCTGCGCAGGAAGGAGGGACTCGGAAAGGACTGGTGGTAGGAGGGGCTTCCATCTTGGGAGGTGGGGGTGGGGCAGTGACAGATTGCCACCTTGCGAGGCTGAGGGTACTAGCTGCCTCCTGAGTGCATCGTCTTGGTCACCTTGTGGCAGCCTGGTCACAGGAAAAGGCCTGAAGGTGCCTGGGGCTAAGGGCCTGGTAGGGACAGCCCATCCTTCCAGCCCTGGGATCCAGTGAAGGGAGTGCAGCCCTCCTCTCTGGCCGAGGTCTGTCCCACAGCTCAGCCTGGCTTGCTCGGTGACTGCAGGCCTCTGCTCAGTCTTGGCTCTTGTAGACATGCACAGAGATGTGTGAGCATGCAGACAAAGCATGTGCACGGACATACAGCCCATGCGTGACCTCAGGTTTTCTGTCATTAAGCAGAGCCTTGTATCCTCTGGATTACATGTCCTTTGTATACTGGCCTGGATAGCTAGCCAGGGGGAAGTGGAGGTTCCCCCTGGATGGGGACCTACACCTCGGTGCTAATTTACATTCAGTGGATTCTAAATGAGGCTTTAACAGAGCCACAGCCTCTGGTCCCAGGGCTGGCACTCTGGAATATTCTTGGCTCCTGTACCCTGATTAATTAAAGTGACACCGTGCCTTTCACATCATCATGGCAATAAGTCTGCACCATGGGGAAATAGATCCTTGTTGTTTTACACACAGAGAAGTTCTGTTAGCTGGGCACCCGAGGGCCCCTCTGCCCCTGTTCATCTGCGTTTCAGCCTGAAGAACAATCTGGGCTGTAGTGGGAGCACCAGCCTCACCTTCCTCCCTGTCTCCTCCTTGGGGCTTGTCACTTTCCACACATCAGAGTGCCCAGACCTGGGCACATGCCCTGCCTGGAGGTCTTCTCCGTACCCAGAATGCCCCAGGGCCAGGAGAGCAGCTGAGGCTTGACCCAGAGCCCAGGAGAGCTAAACTGGGCGCTAGGAATTGCTTCCCTAAAGAATATGGGAATTCAGAGTCAGGCACCTCCCGGAGGCCAGGCTATAGGCCTCGAAAGCCCAGGGCTTCCTCAGAGAAGGAGCTACCGGCCTATGGGGATCTGGGCAGCTGTCCTTGGGACTGGATGGCTCTACCTTCTGGACTGTGGACTAGTGGGGCCTTCCTAGCGTGGGTGAAGAACATGGCCGAAGCCCGCTGTTGGGAAACCCACATGGGCTTCCAGCGAGCATGACCTCTTCTCCACTGCCGTTCTCAAAGCTGCTTGGCTTTGACCTCAGGTAGCGCTGGGCCTGCAGGTGGCCTGGAGGTGGGGCCTCTCTCCACCGTCCTGCAGTGGGTCCACTTCCACGACTCTGCGCGGCCCCTTCCCCTCCCGTGCAGACCTCATTCACAGACCGCATCCCATGCAGCATTGCTCACCTCTTCAGTCTTAGTCATTCTTGGGAAAGAAGTTGTGTCTGTATCCCAAAGAGAGGGAGGCAATTTTCACATCTCAGCTCTCTTGGAATTAATCCCCAAACACTTATTTTTTTCCCCCTAAGAAGAGGAGGGAGGCATCTGGCATGTGTCCACCCCTGCGGCCAGCTGCCAAACCAGCGCCCACGCAGGGCAGCCCGGTGCTCTTGGGTTGTTTCCCTGCTTCCCAAATTACCCCAGACTGTCCAAATGTCACTGTCCTGTGTCCCAGCTCCATCTAGCACCTCCTTTCCTAGTGTTAAGCCAATAAACAGTTTCTTGGCTTAGAAAAAGGGGCGGCCTTAGTGGTCGAAGGTGGTAACATGAGGCAAAGGGCTTGAGAGTTGGTCCCAGTTCTGCCAGTGTATTGGAGTGTGACCCTGGCCAAGCCATTTTGCATCTCTGAGCCTCTGATCCCTCATCTTGAAATGGGAAGATTGATAACACCTGGAAATGATGCCTGTGACATGTATCGAGCACCTACTACGTGCAAGACTCCTGGGCATGAGGAATGAATGACGAAGAGCCATGCACTGTGCTCTCAGCAGGGGGCAGTGTAGTGGGAGGTAAGACAAATGCCCATTTCACGGAGGGAAGACCGAGGTCCCAAGATCAGACCTGCCTGCCTGTGACACAGGGTCCAGAAAGAAGGACGAGCCGTGTCCCTCTCCGTTCTCTTTATTCCCACTCCCAGAGCGGCTCCCCGACTCCTCCTGGGCCTGGAAGAGCACGCAGAGCTGGCCCTCAGGGAGCAGCAGGCGCAGGACACCTCGGGAGGCACAAAGCCAGGCAGCGGTTCAAGTGGAGTGGCTAGTGGTGCTGATGAGACTGCCCCAGACCGGGGCAGCGCACAGGACCTGCCCATAGGTGAAGGAGGGTGGAGGAGGCCAGGCATCAGTAACTGTTAGGCTGGTCCAGCCCTCAATCTGGGCAGAGTTCCCCCTCTCTCCTTCCCGCCATCCCTCCCTCCGTCCCTCCATCCATCCAGCCAGCCATTTATCGAGCATCTTTCACATGCCAGGCGTGGCCCTGGATGCTGGGGACAGCTGTGCTGTGGGCAGCCTGGGCCTCTATCCCCCGTGCCCCGCCTGCTTGCAGGCTTGCCTAGTCCCAGTGCCCCTGTCTTGCAGACGCTCATCACCGCCATGGGGCAGACAGCCTACACCGTGTTCTCTGTGCTGTTCCTGCTCTTCATCCTGATGTACATCTTCGCTATCCTGGGCTTCTGTCTGTTTGGAATAACAGACCAGGGCGACATGAATAACTGGGGAAACCTGGCTGTGGCCTTCTTCACCCTCTTCAGCTTGGCCACGGTACTGTATTCGGGAACAGTGGGTGTGGGGGGAGGGGCCTTGAGACGGGGCTGCCCGCTGGTGTGAGAGTGGACATGCTGGGCATTGCAGGGGGCCTTCCCCATGTTCGGGCACTTAGCTGGGCTGGGGAAACTGAGGCTGACCTCTCAGGACGAAGCAGAGACTAGTGTCCTGGCCAGAGCTCCATCTCTGTCTCTAATCTTGTGAGTCCCTAGAGCATTCCCATTTGTCCCACAGGGTTGTACAACTTTCAGAGCATTCTCAAAAGATAATTCATTTGGATCAAGTTTAATTTAGAAGTGAAATTCATGTCACACAGCCTTTTTGGAAACAGAGTCTCACAAATCTCCCCAGAATGAGCCTGCAAAGCCCAAGTCTAGAAGTCTAGATTGTTGGGACTCTGGAAAGGCGGGGGTCTTTGCAAAGGAGGACCTGGCAGAGAGGCAGTGTCTTTCTGGGAAGGACAGGAGGCCTTTTGGTGAAGAGTCCCCTGGGCACCTTGGCCAGAAGTGGCCCCCCCACCCCCATGCACTGGAGTTAGTGGATGGGGGGCTGCTGAGGGGAGCAGAGCCAGCCTCCTCAGTGGAGTGGGGACTCTCCTAGGGCAGGTGAGCAGGAGGCCTACCCTGCTGGGCCATGGCCCTCAGCATGCCCTCCCCTGTTCGAGCAGGTTGATGGCTGGACAGACCTCCAGCAGCAGCTGGACACCCGGAATTTTGCTCTGAGCCGGGCGTTCACCATCATCTTCATCTTGCTTGCCACCTTCGTTTTCCTCAGCATGTTCGTGGGTGTGATGATCATCCACACTGAGGTGAGGCTGTGCGTGTAAGGGCTGGGGGTTAGCTTAGGTATGGCAGGCGGGGCTGTGGGCCAAGTCTCCAGGGAGGACCCAGAGCTGTCTCCTTGTGGAGGGAAGGTGGCCAGGTGGGCCCTCCCTACCCCAGCCTGATTCTTCTCCCTGAGCCGGCGAGTTTCCCTGCCCCATGATGGTGGCTTGGGGAGCCACTGCAGCTGCACCGGCAGCTTGAGCTGGGGGCTGGTCTGTATGGAAGGGAGCCTTCTGCTGAGGGGCCGGAGCAGCAGTGCCAGGCTGGGGAAGAAGAAAGACGGGTGGTGAGTGAGCAGCAAGCACCCTCACCTTGCCTCATCCCCCGCTCTCCAGGACTCCATCAAAAAGTTTGAGCAGGAGCTGAGGCTGGAGAGGCACATGGCCGTCATGGAAGAGAAGCATGTGGTTGTAAAGCGGCAGCAGGAGGAGGTCAGCAGGCTGATGCAGACACAGGTAGGTGATCTGCACAGGCAGGTGGACAAACAGAGATGGACAGCCAGGGCTGAAGGAATGGCCCGGAAGAGGGCCGGCGACCTTAGGGAAGGCAGGTTCCTCACCCTGTGTTTTCTAGTCAGGCTTTATTCTCTGCGTTTGTGTATTTCTCTGGACCTCTTAGAGTGTTGAGTGCTGTGATTATATAATAAAATTTCCCTCCTTCACCGGCAAAGCTGCACTGCTGGACCCTTTGCCTGGAGTGATCGGTGGGTGTCAGGCAGCTACAGCTCCGTCAGGCATAATACAGCTGTGAAGGGCTGGGCGTCTTCTTTTCAGCCTAAGTGCTCTAAGCTCCCCATGGTGTTCTGCCGGATCTTGCACTGCTGCCCCTTTGTCCCCCATGTGGCTACTGCGTCCCTCCTCAGCCTCTTCTCCAAGGCAGAGACATCTGTCCGTCTTGACTTTGCCCAAGGTTTTGTCCAGGGCAGGTGAGGTCACGCTGAGCCACACTCAGGCTCTCACTGGTTCCTTCCTGTGTCATCTGCCTTCATGTCATGGATGGCGGCTTACAAGCTGCCTTGGCCAGGGGGAGTCCAGGCTCAGAAGGGGCTGGGGTGAACCTGTGATTAGGCTCAGGACTCACCCTGGGGCCAGAGCAGCCCCTTGTGGAGGGTCTCCAGGACTCGGTGCATCTTGAGTGTCACATCCTCCTTGCATTGATCTCTTTCTCCTTCCCTGTCTAGAAAAATGCTGACTGCAAAAGTTTCAGTGAGCTGGTGGAGAACTTCAAGAAGACCCTGCGGCACACTGACCCCATGGTCTTGGATGACTTTGGCACTAGCCTACCCTTCATCGATGTCTACTTGTCCACTCTGGACAACCAGGACGCTACGATCTATAAGTCAGTCCCCGCCCCACCGACCCTGGCCCAAGGAGACCAGGCCTTTCCTGGTCCCCTGACTTCCTTGAGGACAAGGCCATGTCAGGTGCCCTGGGAGAGCAAGGGGTGCAAAGGCCGACGTGCAGGGTGGGTGAAGAGAGGCCCTTCTCAGAGGTGCAGGATTCCATGTGTGCACAGGGGCTGGCCACTGTGTGCACAGGCCCACGGTTGGGGGACTGTACTCCCCTGCCTCTCCACAGCCCACCCTGACCTGTATTTAAATGCTGGCTCCTTCGGCTCTCCAGGCCCCTCCTTACTAACCCTTTTCAGAGGGCAGAGAAAAGAGCACTGGCTGGCGAGTCAGGAGCTGTCATTCCTGGCCTGGTGCTGCCACTAACTTCCTCTGTGACTCTGGGCAAGTCTCTGCCCCTTTTCCACTTGTCCACATGAGGGGCTGCGGGGCTGATTCTAAAAACAGTGTGAGCTTGGCCTGGTCCTGGGCTGTGCTCAGTGTAAGTTAGCTGGGGTTTTAACTGGTCAGCACTGCAAGGAGTGGTAGTGCATGGGCACGGAGCAGCCATTAGTGGGCTCTCGAACAAGGAAGGACATGATTAGCCTGGCTTCTTTTTTTTTTTTTTTTTAAATATAACTCTCAGTTTCTTTTTAAGATTTTATTGGGGAATTGGGAGAGGGGAACAGTGTTGGGGAATTGGGGGAAGGGGAGCAGACAAGTTGCTGTTCTTTTGTTCTTCGGTCTAGTTGTGGAGGACGTTGCTTCACTGGCCCATGTTGGTATTATCATTGTGCTCTTCCCGGGTGAGGCAGATCAGTCACCAGCCTCTGGACGGCCGCTCACAGCGGCTCTTGTCAGCTCACACCGGCTGCTGGCCCCTCACGCTGGCTGTCAGCCACACACGGTAGCCCATGGCAACCCACTGCAGCAGGGGCTGCAGCCTATGCCGTTGCCGGCGACTCACAGCATCCCAGCTCCAGGTCGAGCTGTTGTTCACCATATTAGCTGTAGAGGGCAGTGTCACTGGCCCTCATGTGGGATCCGAACCGGGGCCCTGCTGCACAGAGCTGGCATCCCAAGCCAGCTCTTAACCAATGCACCACTCGGCCGGCCCTAGCCTGGCTTCTTGACCAAAGCCCCTGGAGGGCCTCATGGACTAGAGGAACCAAAAGGAGGGATCAGAGAACACCCACTCTTAGCCCTAAAGTGGGCCAGGCAGTGCCTGGTCACCTCTATACAGCCACCTCACTCAGAGTCCAGGAGCTTGTTGGCTCCACTGGACACATGCTGTGAAATAACTTACTCCAGGGACCACAGGTAGAGTGGCAGACCCAGAGTCCATTCTAGAGCCCAACCCAGCTGATGGGGCTCTGAAGTCCTTCCTCTTCCCTGACCCCACACCGCTCAGGTGTGGTTTATGTGCAGGTACAAGCATGCGATGGGCGGGGCCTGCGTGGCACGGAGCCCATCTGAGCTCAGGCTCTTCTCCTGCTCCACTTCCAGGCTTCAAGAGCTGTACTATGAGATCGTGCATGTGCTGAGCCTGATGCTGGAAGACCTGCCCCAGAAGAAACAGTCCCACTCCTCAGACAAGGTTGACAAGAAGTAGCTGGGCATGGGCACCGAGGCACTGAGAGCGTTGAAGGCCGTGATAGGGCCCCATTAAACGGGCTCTCTGAGTTGGCCTCTTCATGTTTGCTGTGATCATGGTGTTTCCCTACCTTTGGGGTAGGTGCTCATGAAGCCTGATTCCCCGAACCACCCACTGTCACACGTACACAAGACACGGCTAGACCTTGGGAGTGGGGAGATGGAGGCTCAAGACTTGCCCTGGACAGAGGCCACATTCAGGGGCCACACTGGCTCTCTTCTCTCTTGACCCCCAATAGCAAATATCCACTGTGCTCCTGGGGAAGTTGCCTGAAGACCCCGGACCAAGAAGGGCCTCTGACAGCCCCATAAGAGTGTATGGTTCCTTTGGGCTGGTGTGGCCTACTTCCCTCTTGGAACCTCTACTGGGCTCATCTAGGGGGTGCCCCACATCTGTCAGAGCTGTCTCTCCCTGTGGTACCACTGCCGTGGGGATCTCTCTTTAGAAGTCTACTCTGTTTTCCCCTCGGCTACAGTGGTCATGGTGCTCCAAGGGGTGCAGCCGTGGCTGGCAGCACTCTGTTGTGTGGGCACCGGGCTCAGGGTGGGCTGTCCTGGGGGAGTGGCCTGCCAGGGCAGTGCCAGGGCACCTCATATGGGGCCAGAGGAGTGGCAGCATCAGGCATTTTGGGCTGCTTTCCCCCTTATGGTTGGTTAGGACTCTTCATTGAAAAGGTGGAGTTTTCTGTGACATTCCTGGCCAAATGACTGCCAGAGTTGCCAGCATGCTGGTACCACCATGGTCCAGCCATGATGGAACCATCCGAAGGCCCTGATAGGGCAGGGTGGCTGGTACCTCTTGCTCCCTCCTGGCCTAGCCAGAGGCATGGCAGTGCCCCCTCTGCTCCATTGCTGGGGAGTATTCTTGAGACCTGTCACCTTGGTAGTGCCATCTGTCAGAGGGAGGGGCAGGTTTTGGGGATGGGGCAGACCAGCACCTATAGCTGAGTGGAAACAGGCTCCAGACTCACACTGGGGAGTCAGGTCAGCAGAACACATGAGGGGTAGAATTGAGAGTGGGTACACAAAAAGGTCCCTTGGGTGGGCCCACGGGCTCCAGGCCTGGGTGACGGCACCCCTGAGGCCATAGGACCAGGGCAGGTGGAAGCCTATACTCATGGTTTCATTCATACATTGCCTGCTATTTACTGAGCTGTGTTGAGTGCTGGGGGTTCTGTGATGAGAAACCTAGTCTAGTCCTAGCCCTCTTAGTGCTCACGATTGCACAGGGGGAACAATCCAGCCAGATAAACAAAGCCAAGGATTGCTCTCGAGTGTGAGACCCATCGCCATGCTGGTGTTGGGGAATCCTCTGAGGGCAGGGAGTGCAGCCTAGTTGCTTCCTGGGGTGCAGAGAACTTCGTGTAAATGCCTTGGGAGGTGTGTCTGAAGTAGCAGGGTGTCTGTGCCCTTTGTGGCAGGGGGAGGATCTCGGCTTTATGCATCCAGTGCCTAACCATGAAGGCTGGGGCCTTCCAGGGCTGCTCTGGTGGGTGCAGCCCAGTCAGCAGGGCAGGCAGACTTCGGGCAATGGTTCAATTCAGGGCTGGGGCAAAACAAGCATTGCCAACTGCTCACACTGGGTGTGCCAGCGTTGCTGGGGAATATGAAAACACATCCACCTGCTCTCACCAGGAATCCTGGGAATTGCCCCAGGCATCTGGGAGTGAACAAAATATTTAAAAACTTGCCTCAGGGAGGCAAGTTAGAGAGTACCATGGTTTTGGAGTTAGGACACCTGGATCCCTTAATCCGATGACCTTGGCAAGGTATCTGATCTTTGGAAACCTCAGCTATTTTCTCTGAGAAATGGGCTGATGAAAACTGACCAGCTATCAGGATCAAATGAAATACTTGTGAGAGTGTAACAAGAAGATGTAGACAACTCATGGTTTGAGCTTTCTGGCTATCCGCTCTACCTTTCTGGCTGCCAGCTGCAGTGGGCTTTGCCAATCGGGTTAAGAGGGACTGGGCCAAAGCCAAGGTGGGGGAGGAAAGTATGGAGCTGAGAGCAGGGAGCAGAGGTTAGGAACTGTGGGGGGTGCGGTGAATGGGCCTCCAGATGGAGCTGGTAAGATGGGCAGACTGAAAGGTGGACCCGGAAGGCCTGGGTCCCCTGCCCAGCAGGCAAGCCCCAGGCATGTGGTAGGGAAGGGCAGCTGCCTTTAAGGGCACAAGCAGAAGGCTGTCACGAGCGGAGAACTGGGAGAGGGTGGCATGCCGAGGGCTGGCCCAACACTTGGCAAATCAAGCCAATGGATATTTGGCTCTATTTGCCTGTGGAGCAAACACTGGCAGATTAGAATTCCCACTTGGGCTCTCACCAACTCAAACAGGCTTGGCCAAGGCTTTCGATTGATTTGCTCAGGGCAGAAGTGACTACTTGCCTAAGCCTGGTGGTGGAAAGCAGGACCCTCCTCCCTACCCCCAGCCATGGGATCCAGCAGAGCTTCCCCAAATGGCTCGCTGATCTCCAGCCTGGTGGTTTGGGGGCTGCAGTGGGATGCAGGGGACCTTGGCCTGAGTCGTCTGGTCGCACCCAGGCCTTCCCCCAGCTCTCGTAGGAAAGATCTGGAATCCAAGGCTGGAGGTGTTTGGAAGGTGTCCGATTTTTTTTTTTAAACTGCTGTTGATTCCACCAGCAGGAAGCAGTCCTTATATTATGGAGATCAAGGCAGTGACTATGAATATAAGCTCCTGTTTATTCCAACAGCCCCTAGAAGTCCAGTACTGAGATGCTCAAAGCTGCACAACTCCTGTTTTCTTCAAATGTGGGTGAGACAGGACACTTTTTAAAACAAACTGCCCTTCGCCAGGTGAGACTCTGCTCTCAGTGGTATCTCTACCTGTTTAGTCTCCGTCCCTGGCCCCAAACTGCCTGGGCCTGCTTCACTGTCCCACAGACTCTCAAGAGAGAAGATGGCCCCGAATTCCTAACTGGGCGACTCAGAAAGGAGAGGTAATTGCTGATTCTAGTCACGGGGGTGGGAAAGGAGGAGAAGGAGGTAGATGTGATGGAGAGAGATTTATCAACACGTGAGGGCCCACTCCTCCCCACACTGCCACCATTCTGTCTGTGGTCGGCCGCATGCCTCACCTTACCGGAGTTGTGGCTTTGATTTTGCTTTCGGCTTGGTGTGATGTAGCAGCGCTGGGAGAATGGGGAGAGCCAGGACTGGAGAGCTAGAAGGACAGGGAGCATCCGTGCTTTCTTGGTCAGCTCCTGGTAGAGAATCAAGGTCATGGGCGCTGGGACAAGGGGGGAAGAAGGAAATAAAAATAGGGCCAGGAGTCAGAGACTTTTGGACAGAGGCTCTGATACGGCTGGAGTGCGAGACCTGGACAGGGACGCAATGGGGACAAGTGACCTGAGGGGTAGGAGCTGGATCCTGATTGGTGTTCTTTGAGAGAGAGAAATAAAGATTGGAATTGTTTATAGATGAGCTTTGGGGTTTTTTTGTGTGTGTGTTGTTTTTTTTAAAGATTTTTATTGGGGAATCGGGGGAGGGGAACAGCGCTGGGGAATCGGGGGAAGGGGAACAGACAAGTTGCTGTCCTTTTGTTCTTCAGTCTAGTTGTGGAGGACGTTGCTTCACTG